ATGAGTGTTAACTGTGGATCCAAGTAATAGGAAAGCCTTCTTAATGATCATACTCCCTCCGTTTTCATGATGTTGCTTATTGGTCCAATTGTAAGGATTTATGTTTCCTTTATATTGAGATGTGATCAACATTGAAGGTTGTATTCTTTGGTCTTTGTAGTGAGTACTTCACTGTGGGAAGCAGAGAATGGGAAGAGTGTATATAGATGAATCCTTTATTTTCGTATATTAAGAAGCCCGGCAGCCTGGGTTTCTGGGGTGGAGGCACCCTTGTGACTTAGAGATGAGTCGCAATTACATTCTCATAATTAATACTGTTCCCCACTATATCCACCCATCATAGTGCTACCTTAAGTTTACCTCTTGCAAGCACATGGCTGATTGCTATCTAGCCAGCAGCTTTAACTCTAGGGGCAGATTGCGCTACTGCTCTCTAGGCTCTGAGGACAGCACTGCCCCTTCCCTGCCCCCAGCATTGATGTTAGGCTACTCCTCCAAGATACTCAGGGACCTTTAGGGTTGGGGTACAGCCCACTTTGTTACCTATGTGGTTACCTGTAATTAGGGGGTTTGAACACCCCTAGAGTGTATCTAAGCCGTGGTTGGAAATATATTCTCTCTCTCTTTGTGCGGCCCTAGCTCCTGAAGTCATGGCAGTCCTAGAGGCGAGCTCTTGCATACCTTATCTTGTCTGATGTCCCTTTCATTTTACCCCTCAATGACACAAACGCCCCTTGGACCCATTCGATTGTGGGGGGCTGGTACCTCACATTTCAATTCCTCTTCGCTTTCAGCAGGCAAGGTCGTTTCCTCTGTGTATTGCAGGTTGTTCACGGGCCTCCCTCCGATCCTAAAGCCGTGTTCTTCTTCATGTGCACAGCGTGCCAGGTCTCAGATTTGCTCAGCATGCAGACTGAAGCAATACTGCAAAAGGATACAACGTGACGCACCTCTCTTCCGATTTTAAGCCACAAAGTATCTCATTCTATGCAAATGACTGCCTCTTGGTCCTATATACAGGTTCTGCATGAGCACAATTAGGTGTTCTAGCATTCTCATTCTTTCTGCTGTTATCCGTAATTTGTATTGATTGGCACAGTCAAATGTCCTTCTATAGCCAACAAGACCAGGTAAATATCTTGTTAAAGTTACTTTTTATTGTGATTTGGGTGAAAGTTTACAAAGCAAATCCCTTTTCCATTCAACAAGCGAAACATGCTGTGTTTTATGCCATTGATGACAATGTGACGGGGCTCTTCCCGCATCCTCCCTGCGCTTCCCACTTCCAGTCAGCTTCAGTTCCATCCTTTCCTGCTTTGTGAACTTCATCTCTATGCAAATGCTGCCCTTAGAACAAGGAGTAGCTCCTTGTTTTAAGGAGTGCCTCCCTCCCTGGTATTACTGTTCCTCTTACAGACCTGCCTCAGGTGGGTGGGACGTTGAGCGAAGAGGATGATTTCAGCTCCAAGCTGGAAGGCTGAGTAAGGGTCACCGTCTTGGGGTTCTACAGATTTCAGTCACACCAGTAAGCCTGTTTTTTGTTTTTTTATGATTTTGAGCTTTGCTCCAACCTTTTCCTCCCAGTCTATCAAAGCCTTCTATTCTGATCCATTCAGAGCGATCATTCGTGATAACTGGGAACCATTCCAGGTGAAAATCTTGCTGGTACTCTCAATTTTTACCTATGATCCATCTGACAGCGGCAATAATATCCTCCACTGGAGATCTTTTGTGAACTTTTCCAGGGGATTTGAGTTGTGGTTGTTGTTCCCCTCAATTGTTAAAAGGTCTTTACAAATTAGGGATGTTAACCCTCTCTCGCTGATATGTATTATCATTTTTTTCTCCCAGTGTGTCATTTATCTTTGACTTTGCTTATGCTGTTTTTCCATGCAAGAGTTAAAAAAATGGGGGGGGAGGAATCTAGATTATTAAATACTCATTCATATTTTATCTTGGCAAAATAAACTCTTTGTTGGTGCAGGGAAAGTTTTAAAGTCAGATCATGAAAGAAACTAAAATACTCTAGGGCTCCCTATAACCTCTCTGGGTCTGGAGCCCTGGTGGCACACTGGTTAAGCACTTCACTGCTAACCAAAAGGTCCAGCTACTCCGAAGGATAAAGATGTGGCACTGGGCTCTGATCAATATTTACAGCCTTAGAAACCCTGTGGGGGCAGTTCTACACAGTCCTTTAGGGTCCCTGTGAGGTGGAATTAACTCGATGACAATATAGATTTGGGTTTTGGTAGGATCTACTAGAGAAAGTAAAAATCCCAAACCAGTTTCTTCAAGACAGCTACAGCTGGGCTCCAGACTGGATTTTCCAGGAAAGCACAGACATTCTGGGAGTTTTCCACTTGGTTTTATGACCATCTTCTCTAGAACCTACTCCCAGATAGAAGGATGGGACTCGCCTATAATCTGGCCTTGCCTTTCAAGGATGGACTCCTAATTCAAACTGGGTCAATCTCTTTCTTGTTAGGGATTGTTACCTCACATCTGGGAGTCCCTGGAGCTGAATTCCCAGCGAGGAATTCCATAGTTAGTCATGGTCCCTGGAATGCTCTGCTTCCTGCCTGGAGTTTGACTTCTCAGTGTGTTCCTGGATTCTGAAATCCTTTAATCCTCTTAGAAGAAGTTTCCCTTTGTTACTTAGAATACAAAGAAGCTTAATTAAATCACAGACTTCTCTTCCACTTGGTCCTTTACTTAAAGACTTTTATTTTGAGAACAGCTTAAAAGGATAACCAAAATCTATAAAGACAGGCAATCGATGAATAATTTCTTAGGGTTGTGGCAGATGGGGTTGGGGGAAAGGGAGAGCGAGTAACAAGGAATACAAGAAATGAAGGAAATGTTCTAACATCGACTGTGGTGATTATTACACAACTCCTTTTCATATAGTCACATCACTGAGTTATGGGACGTGGATTATGGTCAATGAAAAAGGTGGAAGGAAAAAAGTAAATAAACAAGTAGTACAAAACACAAACACAAATATAATCAGAAAAAGATGAAATAGCAAAAATCATTCTAAATAAGGATTCACTGGGAGCAAGCCCTTTGAAGTTAGAGAAAGACAAGCATATACACCACTATCACATATTCCGCATTATTCGGTAGCGTCTAATCAGCTCAGGGGACAGGAATAAAATAAAAGCAAACACAAAACAAAGGGAATAAATAAAACTTTATTTTTCCAGATGACATAATTATCTAAGCAAAGCAACTCAAAAGAACCTGTAAAAATGAAAAAGAAGGAAAGAACCTGTAAATGATCAAATCAATTAGAGTGTGGCAAGGTGACCGCACAACCACCATTACGGTCCTTTGCCTAGTGGCACAGCGAGTTAAGCATTGGGCAGCTCACTGAATGGTTGGCGGTTCAAACCCACCAGCTGCTCCAAGGGAGAAAGATGAGGCCATCTGCTTCCTTACAAATCGGCAGGGTCCCTGTGGGTTTCCGAGGCTTTAAGTCTTGACAGGAACAGAAAGCCTCATCTTTCTCCAACGAAGAAGCAGCTGGGTTTGAACTCTTCCAAGACCGCCTTTATTTTTTGCTATTAATTTTAGTCTGACTGGGCATTTTCTTTTTCATCATTTGTTTCAAGTTATTACAGCAAAAGGTTATTGAAGACGACTCGTTAAAAAATCTAAGACCAAACTATCAAGGGCTCATGAGGGAGAGGGGAGTGGGGAGGGAGGGGAAAAATGAGGACCTAATGCCAGGGGTTTAAGTGGAGAGAAATTGTTTTGAGAATGATTAGGGCAATGAATGTACAAATGCGCTTTACACAGTTGATGTGTGTATGGATTGTGATAAGAGTTGTATGAGCCCCTAATAAAATAATATAATAAAATGATTTAAAAAAAATCTAAGACCTTCCCTCCAGGAGTTTGCCAACCAGGGTAATTCTCCCAGCCTTTTCTTGAGGAAGGAAAAATGTTCAGAGTAAGCTTCCCTCGTGCCAGCAGTCCTTCAGCTCCCCAATGCCATGATTTCGGTGGAGCGCTTAGGGGTGACGTGATTACATTATAAGTGACCCCAAATCAACCAAAGTCCCCGCCATCAAGCCAGTCAATGCCGCGAGTCATAGCGCATTATCAATAGCAGTTCTGACACTTGGGTGAAGCCAACGATCGCTTCAGGACTTGAAGTCCAGGACGCTTTACTCTCGTCCTAAAAATAGATCTTGCGCAATTCTGCCCAGCACAAAGGAGGCGATTAATAATTAAACTGAGAAATCACCCCACATTGAGTCATTCCCTTTTCTGTTGTTGTTTTAGAAACTTGAGGCAAGGCTGTGGGACAAGCCGAGGGAAAGTGCGGCCTGCAGAGATGGATGGTTAGGGGATGACCGACCTTAAGACCCCTAACTGAGCGTGCGATCTATAAAATGAGGGGTAGGATTGCTGGTCCCTGGGATCGTTCAGGTTTTTGCAGAGTTTTAGCAATTCGGGCCTCGGGGTGAAATCCATAAAAGGAATAAAGGTCTTTTGAAGCATGGTGAAAAGTGAATTTCACCAATCTTTGGGTTTAGCAGTAAGGCGGCCACCGGGCACCGACACTGCTTACTTTATTCATGCACTTTGCACTTTGTCCGCAAAAGCGCCCAAGCTTCGGAAGGCCGCAACCTCTCTCCGTGCCCGCGTTGGGGGCAGAGAGCCGGGGCGGGTTTCCCAGACTTCCCAATCCGCCCCGGGGGGCGGGGGGAGGGCGAGGGGCGAGTCGTGCGCCTGCGCGCTGCCGGCGGGACGGCGGGCGTGCGGAGCGGGGCCGCGGGGGAGTCGCGCGCAGCGCGCAACCCGCGCGAGATCTCCCGAGGCCGGGCGGCGAGGGAGCGTGAGCGCGTCCTGGGGCGGCCGTGCGACGGGGCGGTCTGCGTGGTGAGGAGGGCATCTCAGAGCCCAGGGCGACCCCCGGCTTCTTTCGGGAGCTCCCGGGGGCCGTGACCTCTTTGTTAGGGTTCTGGCTGAGGACGTGCTCGGGGAGAAGCGGGGGGCGGGGGTGTTGGTTGTTTTAGTTGTTGGTCGTGGGCAACCTCAAGGTCGGACTTGCGTTTGAGATGCGTCGGGGACGTACCCTGCATTTCACGTGTGTTGAGCGCCTGCTACGTGCCGGGAGTTGGGTGGTGCAAACGGTTAAGTCCCGGCCGGTAACCTAAAGTTTGCAGTTCGAATCTACCCGAAGGCACCTGGAAGGAAGGCCCTGGTAATCTACTTCGGAAAGATCGTCCACCACTGCCATCTCGTGGCTTCCCGCTCGGTGGTATCCTTAACAGGATTTCCGACGCTGTAAATCTTTTTTTTTTTTTAAATACCAGAACACCATGGACATTTGTTTCAGATATGCCAGCAATGTTAAAAATTGAAACGTGGAATTCTTGAATGTCCAGTGAGACAGACAGCAGTGATGGCGAGATTGGCGCTGGAAGGGCCTGTTTCATTTGTCGTACTTAAAGTCTCTTTTTGAGTTGGACTTGACTTGGCAGCACCTACCAATAACCCCATTAGATACTAAGGTATTAACGATTAATTCCACTCGGTGTGACAATGTTCACAGAAGCAGCAGTCAAGAGCTAAAGACCCATTGCCTTATGTAAATCTGCTGCACAAGACTTTTTTTTCCATTAGGATATTTTCTTCTTATTTTTAATCATTTTATTGGGGGCTCGTACAACTCTTAGCACAATCCATACATCCATCCATTGTGTCAAGCACATTTGTACATTTGTTGCCCTCATCATTCCCAAAACATTTGCTTTCTATTTGAGCCCTTGGTATCAGCTCCTTACTTTTCCCCCTCCCTCCCCGCTCCCTCCTCCCTCATGAACCCTTGATAATTTATAATTATTAT